AATAATAAATTCAAGGCTAGCCTGGGCTATAACGTGTATTACATATAGCATCAGGGTCAAGACTGTAGTTTGATGGTAGAGAACTTGCCTAGCAAGGGTAAAGGCCTTGGTTCAAGCCCTAGTGTTATTTTTCACATACACACAGAGGCACCTATATTAACAGACAACCACTGAATAACAAGCTTGAGCCAGAAACTACACATACTTGTAAGCACAACAGACTCATGATTGTCTATATAAATTGGCCCCAACTTATGTAGAAAAAGAACTATATATGTTAATTCTTTTCTATAACTAACTAACTATATGTATATATAGGAATATATATATATATATGTACATTTTTATGTATAGAGAAGTATGCTCAGGGCTGGAGGATGGCTCAGTAGTTAAGCGCACTTGCTGCTCTTGCAGAGCTTGGTTCCTGGTACCCGTACCAGACAGCTCACAATTGCTTTTCCAAATCCCTCCTCTGGCTTCTGTGGACACACACACACACACACACACACACACACACACAGAGAGAGAGAGAGAGAGAGAGAGAGAGAGAGAGAGAGGATGAAAATAACTCTTAAGAAAGGAAAAGACAAATATGCTCTATATTCTGTGATAGAATATATTTATTCATGTTTTTCTTCACATTTTCCCTTTCTGTATTTCGCATTTTCTAAAAATTTTATACATGTATCTAATGCATCCTAATTATACCCATCCCTACCCCCTCCTCCAGTTCTCTCCGGGGGCTCCCAACACATCTGTCTCCTAACTTCGTGCCCTCTTCTTTATAACCCACTGAGTGTAGTCGGCGGTGCCATCTACAGATGGGCGAGATGTCATGCACTGAGGCACGGCTGGTCACCAGCAGCCACTGCCCAAGAAAAGTGGCTTTTCCCTCCTCCGCAGCTGTCAACTGCCAACAGTGCCCCAGTGAGGTTAACAACTGGAGGCCCTACCTCCCTGCTGGAGCCTTTACCTGACTTGATCTTGGGCAGGCGACCACAGCAGTTACCAATTTGTGTATGCAACAGCCATGTCATGTCCATAAGGCAGCAGCCTGTCCCAGCACTCTTCCGCTCCACTCTTCTTGCTGTTCTGTGATCCTCACTGGGAGGATTGACATAAATGTCCCGTCTAAGTCTGAGGACTTGGTCATTTATTCTCTCTTCTGGTTTTTTGAGACAGGGTTTCTCTGTGTAGCCCTGGCTGTTCTGGAACTCACTCTGCAGGCCAGGCTAACCTCTAACTCAGAGATATCCACCTGCCTCTGCCTCCTGAGTGCTGGGATTAAGAGCGTGTGCCACCACCTCCTGGCTTTGTTCTTTATTTCGTCTGTCTGTTTGTCAGCATTTTGATGAGGAATGACTACATTAACGATCACCTGCTGCGACAAGCAGTCCCCAACAAAGGCGAAACAGCACAGATGCGTGAACATAAACCTGAGGGTCGGGTTTTGACCATGTTTTCAGTTCGGTGCTCGGCATGAATTCTGTGGTGACTATTTTTGGTTGTCATCTTGACTACACCTGGAACGAACTATAGTCCAGAAATGGAAGGCACGCCTGTGAGAGAATTATTATTATTATTTGCCTTGGTGTGAGTGAACAAAACTAGCCCGCAGTGCTAAAATGTGCTGTTTTGTAAACACAAGTCTCAGTCAGAGGAATACAAACGTGTGAATTATTTCTGATCTTGAAGCTAACGGAGAGGGAGAGTAATTTCACACCTTTGCTTCCTCCTTTCCTCCAAGTCACCAGAATTTTCTGATCCAGTCATCTGTTGTCCCAGTTGCGAGTCTGAGGTCAGGTGGGGAGTGTAGGTTGTTTCCTGCACGCTTCTCAGCCCAGGGAGAGCAGGGACTGAGACCTGAGAAAACCCCACAAACAAGATGCCTACACAGTGTCCAGGGTCCCTCTGCCCTCAGTGGGGAGGGGAATTGAGTCATATCACACATCACCAGCACACACCCTGGCTCTGCCAGCCTTCTGAACTCCCCAGATCACTCATCAGTCTGGGCCCCAGTTCCCACACTGTGCCCCGAGAACAGACCCGTGGGGTTGAGGGAGGTGAGGAGAAAGGTCAGAATTAGTCACAAGAGGCAAATTGAGATCAGCACAGGGCCACATGCCAGCCTTTGCCTGGATGTGGGTTTTCTCTCTCTTCTTCTCTCCCCTTGCCTCCCTGCCCTGCTCCCCCTACCCTCCTCCACTCCCTCCCCATGACTGAACCTAGCTTTTTACCTGCTAGGTAAGGGATCTATTGCTGAGTTACAGCCTCAGGCCAGATGTTGACCTTTTCAGTTCCAGGGCAACCCCCTAGGTCTTTCCACAGTAAAAAGATGGGGAGGGAGAGCAGGGCCTGGAACATGTTAGCCCCAGGATGTGCTCTTAGGGCACATCTGTCTAAAATACCATCACTTACAAAGCACTTTCAAGAACATCATTTCCTTTGATCTGTGATACAGCAGAGCAGATACGATCAGCCCCAGCTTCAGCTTAGAAGCCTGGGTGAGGGGCCCAGAGACGGGCATGAATGAGAACATAGGGGAACCAGGCCCTGGTCTAATTTTAGCTTCTTTGTTTTGGGAGCATCAGTGGACGCTAGCAGCCCTTAAAATGCTTATATACATTTTCCAAAAGAAATGCAGGTTCTATTCCATGGTTCTCTTATTCTAACACCGCTATTGCTTACATTTATTGCACTTTCTTCTAGACGAACTCTGTGCCCTTTAATAAAGTGCAACTACTATATACAGAAGGCAGCATCATTTCTTTCACTTGTCACATTATGTCACAGGATGACGCAGTCCCCGCAGTCACTCATTTAGCAGTAGTTAACACCTGCTGCATGGGCACAGTGCTCTAGGCACTGGAGATACAGCACGAAATCAAATGACAAGATGCCCTGGATCCATGGAGTGGTGCATGTTCTGGTGCGAGAGTCAAATAAGCAAATAAGTAAACAGCTGGTGTTCTATTAGTGAACAGCGCTCCTACCCATGGTGGGATGAGAAAGAACAAAAGATAGTGTTGATCCAAAGGAGACTGTGCTGGCTAATTTGATACAAGCTAGGGTCATCGGGAATATATACCACCCCCCCCCCCACCAGTCTGGCCTGCTGGCAAGCCTGAGGAAGTGTTTTCTTAATCAGTGGTTGGTGTCTCAGGGCCCAGCCCTTTGTGGGTAGTGACGCCTCTGCTCCTGGATGTCTAAGAAATTAGACTCAGCGAGGCACGAGGACCAAAGCAGCGAGCAGCACTCCATGCCCTGCACAGCAGCTCCAGCCTCAGGGTACTGCTCTGTTTTGAGTTCTGGCCTTTCCTTCCCTTAGTGGGACTGAGGTGGGACTGTACGTTGAAATAAACCTTCCCCCCACCCCCAAGTTGTTTTTAGTCATAGTGTTTTGTCACAGCAAGAAAACTAAGAGACGTATAATATTTTCCCTCAACAAAACCAGTGCTGATGATCTCACATCCTTCAAATCAAAGCACAAGGACTCATTGAACTTCTGAAATTTTTTCTTCCTCTTGGAAACATATAGCCAGTATTTTTGGAATCCTCCTTGAATGACATCTTAAAATTTGCATTTTAGTCTATCATAGTCACGAAAGCATAGCATTGCATTTGGACATTTAGGATTTTTTCCCTTCTAGGTTTAAATCTTTAGAAACTTCTTACTCAGCAATCGGGTTCTCACTGTGTAGGATTATTGAACTGGGGCAGGGAGAAGTGAAATATTATAAGGCTGAGGGGTATGGACATTTGAGGGGGTGGGCTACGCTCGCCTTTAAAGTTTTTAATGAAGATGGACCAACTGCTTGCTAAGAAACTTTAGTTTGTTCTCCCCCCACAACCTGTTCTTAGCCCCTGCATCCACGCCTCGTCTCCCTCACCAGGAAGAGGGAACTCATGCTCCACAGAAGGAGGGAAGATTTCTGAGGAGCACATGACAGCCCAGCTGAGGGCTGCACCCCGAGAGGGAACTGTTCTTCACGCTGGGCACAGTTCTGTGCTGGGGGGAGGGGGTGGTCAGCTTTCAGTAAACCCTGCAGGAGGGAGGATGAAGAAACTTCCCATGGGCTTGAGAAGCCTCCAGTCTTCTGCTTTCATGGAGCTCAGCTGAGAAAGCAGAGATGAACGTGGAGGGGAGCTCGGCCCAGCAGCCTCGAACCACATCTGCTCTGTAAGCTTCAGTCTTGACACACACTTTGACGAGGGTCAGTACCCCTGTCCGGAACTCTGGGGCCCTCACTTCAGGGACTGACGGTAAGGATAGGAAGGACTGTGGTACAGAGGGGCTCTTAGACTCCAACGTGCCTGAAGTGCATCTGCCCGGCCTGGCGACCCAGGCTGTAAGCTTGTTGCGTATAGGAGCGTATAGGGGGGGTGTACAGAGATGTTCTTTTTGACAACAGCAGCCGCAGGACGGGGTCAGGTAGGCCATGATGCTAAGTATTCCAGCGAGAATGCAGGGGTGAGGAGGTCAGGAAGCCTGAGAGAATGTCATCTTCAGACCCAGCCCAGCACTGAACACCGGTCTGTGGGGGCACTCCACGAGCTGGCTCAAGAACAGTCTGGGGGCGGGGGGAATCCCTTTCCCTCAATGATCAAAACGTTTCCAGGCCCAATAAAAACCATTTACTTTCTAAACCTTGCAGAAGCCTCAAAGGATAAACCAGAGTCTGCAATGGTTAATTCCAAACATTTGTACTGGAAGGGCTCCCATGAGCATGGGGGGGGGGGGGGCAGTGCCGGACCACATTTAAAAATCAAAATTACGCATCTCTTCTTTGAAATGACGCCTGGCAGGCAGATGCTGAACATCTTCCTCACTTTCCCCCCTTCAAGCTATGAGAAGCCTTTTAAAAGACACTCTCGGGTGCCCGGGCCCTCCCCTGAAGTGCCTAAACTACCGAGTTGAGGTTGGCCTGACTGTGTGGCACACCTTCTGGCATCCATTTCGCTCTCGCTGTGCAAGTCAGAACACGGTTGCCAACCAGAGCTAACAAAAGTTTTTATTAAAATGTGAACACACAGAAGAACCTGGGGTCCCTGGCTGAGAGAGGGGATCCGAACACCCACTGAAAAGTTTCAGATCCCAGCACTCTTAGAAGGAAGGCCAGAACAATTTCCAGAGTGAGTCCCCAGCGCCTCCGGAAGGGAAGAGGGTCGCCACACGGGGGGGGGGGGGTACTGTGAAGGACGCACTGGGCAGCGCACACCCTGGTTGGTTCCCCCGTGTCGTTCGTGAGCCTCTGAAAACAAAAATCCGAATTGAGGATGAGGTAGGGTACAGGCAACCACAGCGATGACCAGAGCGCGCGCTGTCACTCCTCAGGGAGTACAGACCATCTTTGCGGTGGCGTTGCTAGAGGGCTGGCGCAGAGGGCAAAGGCTCTTGCAGGGGGCAGAATAGTCAGGGACAAAAAAAGGCCCGAGAGAGTCTGGTTGGATGTTGGGCTGAGTTACACAGACTGAAACAGAGAAGGGAACCCCCTCCCTCCCACCTACCAGGTGAACCCACGCTGCTTCCCCGGGTGGGTGTCTCACACAGCCTTCCTTGCCCTGGGGAAAATTAGGGAAACACCTCGACCCTTCCCCACCCCTATCAGCCGGAGAGAACAGCCAGCCTCAGCAGCTAGCTCCGAGAGAGCTCTGGACAGTCCCCGGGCGCACGGTCGCCCTCCGTGAGGTTCCCGTCTTTGGAGCCCCGCGGCCGCTCCCCTTCGCCGCCCCGGGGAGACTACCAGGCCGCCGAGGCCGAGCTCGCCTTCGGGGACCGGCCCCAGGACACCGAGCCGTCGTCCCTGGAGAGCGACGAGGCCGAGCTGATCCTTCGCACCCGGCGCCCGGCGGCCGAGCACACCCCGAAGCGGGCCCGCGCGCGGAACGAGCGGTCCAGCACCAGGTAGATGACCGGGTTGGCACAGCTGTTGACAAAAGCCAGGCAGGTGGCGACGGCCAGGCCCCAGCGCAGCGCCAGCAGCAGCGAGCAGGGCAGCGGCAGCGCCCGGAGCCGCGCCAGGTGGAAGACGGCTCGCAGCACGCCGAAGGGCAGCCAGGAGCCCACGAAGACGCCCTCCACGGCGACGATGATGCGCAGCGAGTTGCTCCGGGCCCTGCCCACGCGCGGCAGGCGGCGCGACACGCGGCAGTAGCAGGCGAGGGTGACGGCCAGCGGCAGCGCGAAGGTCAGCAGCAGCAGCAGCAGGCCGAGGCCCTGCAGCGCATCCGAGGGCCGCTCGGAGCACCGGCTGCCCAGGCCGTCCGGGCTCGGCTGCAGCTCGCGGTAGAGCAGGGCGGGCAGCCCCGCCAGGACGGCCGCCGCCCAGGCGCCGCAGCAGGCCGCTCGCACGCAGCGCGGGGTCCGCAGCGGCCGCGCGCTCGGCGGCCGGCCCACCGCCAGGTAGCGGTCCACGCTCATGCCCGCCAGGAGCAGCGCGCCCGCGCAGCGCGTGGCCGCCAGCGCGGAGCTGCTGAGCTTGCACGCGACGGCGCCGAAGGGCCAGCGGCCGCCCAGCGCCTCCGCCGCCGCCCACAGCGGCAGCGTGAGCACGAAGCCCAGGTCGGCAGCCGCCAGGTGCAGCACGAACGTGTCCACCAGCCGCCGCGGCCCGCGCCGCCCGGCCAGCAGCCACACCACGAAGGCGTTGCCCGGCAGGCCCACGGCGAAGGCCGCCAGGTAGAGCGCTGGGATGATAGCGTGGCGGTAAGGCAGGTCCCAGGCCGGGCACAGCTCCATCTGGTCCAGGAAGCCTGAGCCCGAGTAGTCCCAAGACGTCGTGCCCCAGCTGGGGCTCCATGGCTCGGTGGACGGCATGCCACTGGGCCTGCACGCACCCTGGCGCAGTGCAGCTCTCTCTGAGCAGGACAGGGGAGGGGTGTGTGGGTGGGGGGGGGTTGCTTTTCACGGCCAGTGCCCAGCACCTCCCTTCCTGCCACCCCAGGCCGAGGCGAAGAAGGTGGAGGGTGGTGAGAAGAGTGTGGGCCTCTGTGGTGGAAATGGTGACCTCCAAGTTGGGGCTGGCCCAAAAGGATTTCACGACTGGGTACTGAGAGATGTCCTGAGGGATGGGAGACCTGCGGCTCAGAGTTGGTGGCTCATTATTTCTGGGCGCTTGGCCTGTTATCTGGGGTGGGAGGATCTGATATCGGATGCAAGGCGCAGTGGGTGCCTTAAGACACCTCACCTATTCTCAGATCTCACCAAGCGTTGAGTCTCTTTTCTAGGTTTTAGAGGGGAGGAGACAGCACAGCCATGAGGGCTTCTAAGGGAGGTCAAGACCTCAGCTTCCTTCTCTAACTCGCTCACACAAGGTGCGGGAGTGGGGGTGGGGGCTGGAGGCTGAGTCTCCCTTGGTTCCTGATCAAGCATTGCCACCATAACTGTTGGGACTAATTAGCTTCCTGAGACTGAGGACTAGATGGGTCGCCTGGAGTGGCATTTCTGTCCTGGTCCAGTCCGCGTGGAGCCCTGTGGAAGGGGTTAAAGCTAGAGATTGAAGGTGCAGTCAGGTCGCCCTGCTGGAAAGCGCCAGGCCCCTGGGTTAACCAGCCCTCCTCCTCCTCCAAAACCTTACTGATAAGTCAAATAGGGTCACAATCAGGGTCATCATCTCTATACAAAAGATGACCCAACACGGCCCCTAACAATACAACAGAGGAGACAGGAGCTCAGAGACCCCCTTCGAACTGAGGGGAAGGAGAGGGCTGATTCAGGATGTTTGAGCTTGCATGGTATGGCAAGACAGAGAGGGGTGGGAGGGAAAACGTGTTCTCAAGGAGCTGCACACACATTCTTAACACACGTCCCTTGACAGGCTGTGTTGGGACCAATGTTAATGATGGTGTGCCTTCCACTGCCACCAAGGCGTGACTGATGCACTGAGCAACCCGGTGTGGGAAATTCCAGGGGGATTGTCAATTTTGATTGTTCCTCGCTCCATTAACAGTGACCTCTCCATGCAGCAGGCACTGGGCTTTTTTTTTTTTTTTTTAATTGCAGGAAATGCATTCTTGATCTCAAATCCATTACTGAGGTGGGGAGAGACACAGGCCGTGTGTGCCATGGCCGGGGTGTCATCAGCCAAAGTGGGGTACACGTTTAAAACAAAGTTCACCTAGAGCTTAGATGCGGGTGTCATGCATCTGGTGGGGAAAAGGCTACAGAGGGGCCACATTTCAGGTCAGGTGTAGGAAGGGAATAAAGGTCAAAAAGAATGGCAGAGCAGAGAAGAAGCCAGCTGAAGAGGCATAAAAAGCAAGTGCATTGAGACAAATAGGAAGACACTGACAGGCCGCTGGAGCCTGGGGAGGGATGCAGGTGGGCGGCCGAGAGCACAGATGAGGCTGGCAAGGTCACCATGGCTTAATCCTGACGGGCTTTGGACATCAGTCTGGTTTGAAAGAGCCCTGTCAGGACTGTGGATCAGCGAGGAGGGAGGCTCAAGCCAGGGGACAGGGGAACTCCACAGGAGGCTATTGTATTTGTGACCAAAACAGATAACGATGATTTTATTTTGCAGGGGGTAAGGTCAGGCAAGTGCTCTGCCGATGATCGACATTCCAACTCCTGACATAGTTACTGGCAGTAGGGACAGAAAAGAGAGAGGGGATGTGTCAAGAGCTACAACAACATGGGGCTCCACACAGAAGAGGGCAGGAGGGAGATTTGGGATTTCTCTTGGGAACAGCGTGGAAGTGGTCTCTGTAATGGAAGGACGGGAGGGCAGCTGTGGGCACGTGCTGGGCTTCATGTTGATTGACAGTAGGATGATGAGATCATTTATGATCCAAACCAAGACACGACTGAGAATGAAAGGAGCATTGTCAGTAAACAGTACTGTTCTGGGCAAACCAGGCCATAGGATTGCCTGGAGTCCTTTTGCCACCCAGCAGGGAGTAGAAAGATGGACTGTTTTTGCATTTCTGTCCATATCCAGTTCTCATAGAGTAAGGGTTTTTAGGCTCGAGGGGGAGGGTGTAGCCAGATTGCACTTCTGTAAGGGCATACGTGTCTAGTTTGTTTCCAACAAGAAGCTCTTTTCCTGGGCTGGTCAGAGGACTCAGGAGATGAAGGTGCTTGCCGCCAAACCTGAGTACCTGAGTTCAATCCCCAACCCACACAGAAGGAAAGGCCCTGCTTCTGTAAGCTGTCTTCCCATCACGTGTACCATAACACACATGCCACACACCACACACACATGTACTAAAAGATAATTTTTTAAAAAGGATATTTCTCATGCCAGTCCCAGTCTAGGAAAAGGTAGGCAGGAGGTCAGGGAGTAAAGGCTAATTTCTTTGTGGGCACCTCAGTTTCTAGATTTGTGCTTTCTCCAAAAGGCCCTCTACCCACTTGGTGCTGGTGAGCTGTGCCTACCTCCGGCTGGCCAAAGGGGCTACAGCTTCCTTCCCTGGAAGTGGGACAGTCTAGACAGTCAGGCCCAGTGCTGCTGGATTTTACCACCTCCACTCAGCACATCTCAGGGTAGAGCTCAAACAGAGAGCGTCAATGAAAGCCAGAAATGGAAGAGTAAAGAAGTGAAGATACCACCCACAGGGAGAGAAGGCAAACTGAGGGCAGCTGCCAAGATGGGAGGGGAGCAGGGGGCAGAGGGGAAGTAGAAGTAGGTTGTTTACTAAAAAACACAGATTCGTACTTCCTGGCTGTGGTCTCACAGCCAAGAGGCAAATGGCTGAGCACACATGGTGGATTTTCGCTGCTGGAGCTGGTTTAGAGGAGAAAGCGCAAAGGCCAGAGCGGAGGATGGGCCCTTGGATGTGGGCTCCTGCGGCGCCCAGGCTGCTTGGTGACGTAGGACCCACTACTCACAAGAGGCAAGCAAGTTAGCCAACTGACACGTCCATCTTCCCCAGCCTAGGGGGTGTGTGTACAGAGGCAAAGCAAAGTGGTGGGCTCTCTTCCCACCCTCCTCCGGGAGCCTCACCATCCCCGACAGGCCTCCTCCTTCTGAACTGTGGGAGCCCCTGGGCTCACTGTTCTGTGGTCCTGCCCTGTCTACTGTATTATCTTTGGGAGGATGGGAGAATAATGTGTGTAACACTTAATCTCAGTTGCTTTGGGATTTTTTTTTCTACTCATACATAGGCCTAATTTAAGATATTACAAAATTTCCCACTACTATTCATTTTTCTGTGCAAATAATTTTCAAGAATTTTTTTTGAAAATTATACTTGCATTTTTCACTACAAAGCTTTATTGAGGGTCACCCCAGATTTAGCTTCAATACAATCATACCTAACAGGTTGTGAATTTTTTTCATCCTGGCAAGGATGTTTCCAAAGATAGTGTCCACATACTCCCATCTTGTTTTTTTTTTTTTTTTTTTTTTTTATTGTATGCCATATTGTATGTAGATTTTACACTGTTTCAGCCACATTTTGTCATTAGAATGTACCTGGTTTATTGTCTGTTACTCTCAAAAGTCTTTTTTTTTTTTTTTTTTTTTTTTTTTTTTGTAGCCCTGTCTGTCCTGGAACTCACTATGTAGTACACCAGGCTGACCTTGAACTCATAAGAGATCCACCTGCCTCTGCCTACTGAGTGCTGGGATTAAAGGTGTGTGCCACCACTCCTGGCTAAGCCCACATTTTTTAAAAATCTTGCTTAATTTATTTTTTGTTTATTTTATTTTTTCTTAAAATTTTTAAATACTTAGATTGGGACATTTCAGTGGTTTGGGTGCTTTTAGTTGTTATAGTTTGATAGATAAATCATGTCCCTATGTATGATTATGATCATATATATTTACTAATTCTCATAACCTATTTATTTAGGGGGGTCATGAGCGATCACATTTGATTCAGATAGTTTTCTGAACTTCTCAGCTGTTTTAAAAAGTTTGTAATCTTCTGGTTTTAGTCAGATTTGTGGCTGTTGTCACTTTGAATGTGCACTGTCCCTCCCAGGCACACCCACATCAGGTCTCCAGCCAGCGGCATTGTCTTAGCTGTGAAACCTTCTGGACATTGGATTTAGCTGGTGGATGTAGGGGCATAGGAGAGGATCTTGAGGTATAGCCCAACTCCTACCTCTGAGAATTCCATCACACTGTCTTAGGCTGTGGTGGACTGTATCCTCTCAACAGCGAGCCCAAGATAAATCCTTTTCCTTTAGGTTGCTGTCAGACATTTTGCCACAGCAAGAATAAAATACATGTATAAACATTGAGTTGTATGACATTATTTTTAAGGACTTACTATGGGTATGTGAGTGCTTCTATGTATGTGTACTATGTGTGCCTGGTGACCACGGAGGCCAGAAGGTGTTGGATACCCTGGAGCTAGAGCTACAGGTGGTTGTGAGCCAGGGGGTCTGCTGTATGCTTGGTGGTGGCATCACCAGGTGCGCTTGTCTCCAGCTGTCCTGCTGCTTCTCCCTTCCAGAAGAGTATTTCCTTGCACACAGCAGCTGGTTAAACGTATTGGGGATCTACAGCGATGTCTCATCCAGGAATCTTCAAATTTTGACCACCATTGTACCTTGTGTCACCCTGATGAATCCCTCAGGGTCAAATGCTGGATGATGAAGAGAAACTGCTAGAAGGCAGGCAGTTGCCTCTCAAGGGGGAGTTAAAACAAGCAAAGCCCTATTTTGTGTTTCTATACCACTGATGCATCTTGAACTGGGAATGGCGAAGCCTCTATTCACCTTTAGGGTTGGTCCTTTGTAGGTGGACTGAGGGGGCACAGGGGACAGACAGTAGCTGCTCTGGACCTGCCCTGATGCCCTGCCACCTGAGAGATGGCTGGCACACAGACCACCCTCATACCACATCTCAGATGTTCAGTTATTTTAGA